GAAATTTGGACCCCACCCCACCCCCCACCCCCCAGATAGGTCTCTGGATCTGCCACTGTTCTAGGCATCCTTTCAAACACAACAGAACAACATGATAGAGCATGTACCAAAATATGATATCATGTAAGCTTATAATTGTATATATAGTTACAGCAGTTGAATGTATGTTACCGTTACCATTACATTCTTTTAATATAACATCGATGATATTGTAAATTTTCGAACACCATCAAATGAAAAAGTTCACATAGTCCAGATACAGTCTCGTCCGAAAATAATGAAAAAGAAAAAACATTCAGGATAATGGAAATCAATAGTGAATCGTTTATTCAAATTATAGGCGATATTTTTACTCAAACCCTCATCCCAGTTTACCAGGTTCTACTCTAAAAAAAGGATAGCATGAAATATGATTTAAACAATAATTGTTATCGTCGAAGCGAAGTTAGTTAAAAACAGTACTGAATTTTCCCCAGGCTTATAGACTTAGGTGTTGTCCATATAACTGATGTTCAAATAATGAATACTGAATTCTAATTATCTTATTTTATGATCGACCATAATTAGGAATCCAACCCACACACTAGTTAACCTAGTAAAAATAATGAATTATAATCCACACATACTAGATAAGCATCTGGTGTACCACCTTAAAATTATAAGTATGTGAATGAAATACTTGACATATTATTGTTTTTTAGCTCACCTGGCCCGAAGGGCCAAGTGAGCTTATGGCATGGTGCGGCGTCCGTCGTCCGTCGTCCGTCCGGCGTCAACTTTTTACTTTAAACAACTTCTTCTCAGTAACCAAAAGGGCTAGGGTGAAAATATTTGGCCAGAAGCATGCTGGGATAAAGGGCTACCAAGTTTGTTCAAATAAATGACCTTCAACCATTTTCAAGGTCACCGGGGTCAAATATGTTAAAATCTTTAAACAACTTCTTCTGAATAACCAAGAGGCCTAGGGTGATGGTCATTGACCAGTAACATGCTGGGATGAAGGCCTACCAAGTTTGTTCAAATAAATGACCTTGACTTATATTCAAGGTCACAGGGGTCAAATATGTTTAAAACCTTTAAACAACTTCTTCTGAATAACCAAGAGGCCTAATGTGATGCTAGTTGGCCAGTACCATGCTGAAATGAAGGGCTACCAAGTTTGTTCAAATAAATGACCTTGATTTATATTCAAGGTCACAAGGGTCAAATATGTTTAAAACCTTTAAACGACTTCTTCAAAGAAACTGAGAGGCCTAGTGTGATAATAGTTGGCCAGTAACATGCTGGGATGAAGGGCTACCAAGTTTGTTCAAATAAATGACCTTGAATTATATTCAAGGTCACTGGAGTCAAATATCTTTAAAACCTTTAAACAACTTCTTCTGAATAACCAAGAGGCCTAGGGTGATGATATTTGGCCAGTAACATGCTGAAATGAAGGGCTACCAGGTTTGTTCAAATAAATGACCTTGATTTATATTCAAGGTCACTGGGGTCAAATATCTTTAAAACCTTTAAACGACTTCTTCTGGATAACCGAGAGGCCTAGGGTGATGATATTTGGCCAGTAACATGCTGGGATGAAGGGCTACCAAGTTTGTTTAAATAAATGACCTTGATTTATATTCAAGGTCACTGGGGTCAAATATGTTTAAAACCTTTAAACGACTTCCCCTAAATAATTGAGAGGCCTAGGGTGATGATATTTGGCCAGTAACATGCTGAGATGAAGGGCTACCAAGTTTGTTCAAATAAATGACCTTGATTTATATTCAAGGTCACAGGGGTCAAATATGTTTAAAACCTTTAAACGACTTCTTCTGAATAACCAAGAGGCCTAGGATGATGATATTTGGCCAGTAACATGCTGGGATGAAGGGCTACCAAGTGTGTTCAAATAAATGACCTTGATTTATATTCAAGGTCACAGGGGTCAAATATGTTTAAAAACCTTTAAACGACTTCTTCTGAAAAACCGAGAGGCCTGGGTGATATTTGTCCAGTAACATGCTTGGATGAAGGGGTACCAAGTTTGTTCAAATAAATGACCTTGATTTATATTCAAGGTCACTGGGGTCAAATATGTTTAAAACCTTTAAACGACTTCTTCTGAATAACCGAGAGGCGTAGGGTGACGGTATTTGGCCAGTAACATACTGGGATGAAAGGCTACCAAGTTTGTTCAAATGAATGACCTTTGCCTATTTTTTCTGAATTACTTTGAACTTTAAGTTAAGACGCTGATATTTTTCCTGTAGCTTTATTTTAGTCCTCTTTTAAGGTTACAATTGTGAGATTAATACCAGGTGAGCGATGCAGGCCAATTGGGCCTCTTGTTTTATTTACAAGCAAGACAAATTAAATTCGCTTGTGCAGTGTATGATGTAATTGCTAGTAGATTCTTAAGAGCTCAGTTTTTGACACTGATCTGTAATTCTATAATATATTCAGGGTTTTTTTCACCACCCTTTTTTTGTGTACAAATATATAATAGATTGATAGTATCTGAATTTTTAAATAATTAAAGACTTTGAATTACCTGGACCGTCTGTCCCAAGTTCTGTCCATCTGTGGATAATATCTCGCTGCTCTTTTTCTGGTCTCTGCAATCAAAAACATTAACAAGTGTCACAGTGATTTTCATCTTATAATGACTCCTAAACGTTATAAATGTTTAAGATAACATTAACGCCTTTTTTCAGATATGTGCTTAGAATACACCTACATATTGCCTTCATTACAACGAATTCAGTTGGGTTTTTTTTGTAAAAAAAAAATATCAGTTTCATTTTTATTTTATCAGGAATTCTACAAAACTCTAAATACTCTCATTAAACCAATTCTATTCCACCCAAATTTGTTCATCCTCATTCCACAAATTCTACAATCAGGCCTGGGTACCTCTCATCCGAAATCTAATACAAATTCTTCAAACTTGGTAAAAATTAACTGCTAATATATCACACATATTCTATAATCTTGGATTACTTTCACGTGAACCTCAATTCTACAAATCTTGTCATCTCCCATACACACCGCATTATATCTACATTCTGGTTAACTCATCTATAACGAACACCAGTTCTAAAACCTTTTCTATTCTAGATCTCCTACATACCCTAGCTATCAATAATCCTGCAACATGGTTTACTCCCCTTCCTAATAACTTTTCAACACAATAATAATGCAGTTACATTTGAAATTTTAGAATGAAATTATTAATCAATTAGATTATTTCTTTCTGCACTTTTATAAATTGAGAACCTAATTTAATCAAATTCCTCAATATGTTGACATCCACTGCAACCTCAATGCTGATGATTAAATAATTGCTTGAAAGAAGATTTAATGTGATCTGCTCTGAAAAACAGATTTGTTTCTTCACGATCCTGCATCTGACGTTTATAGATAGTGAAACAAAATATAAATCAACAATGACAATGTTTAATGGTGGAACCCAAACATGGGTGTTTGTATAGACAGTAATGATTTAGAAGTAATTTGTTCTTTATAATATAAGGTTTTGCATTGATATCTTTATCTCAGTCAATGTGACACAACAGCCGTCCAGGGTATTTGCTGTTGTCTGACCTTTGAAAATATATCTCCTAGCCTTGCATGTTATGTGTAATAGTTTCGGATTTTGCTTTGCAAGATACATAAACACATATACTGAGAAAAAAAAAGATAACAGAAATTAACATGTACATTATTCAAACATTTTGTACAGAACATGTTGCAGTGTTATTATCAATGCTATTTTTGTAGCTTAAGGCTTACTGTCCCACTGCACTGTGAGTTTTCGTATTTACAGTGACCTCTGATTAACTCATTCACCCCTGGAATTTCATAATGAACTATTCCCACCTTTGAATTGGAAGAGTTCAAATGTGTCTTCAGGGGTGAATGAATTAATCTAGGGTTTGAAATTACTACAGCACAGTTGGGCCAGGACATATCTGTTGACGAAGTAGCACAGTCAGTTAGCGTGATACTATAACAACCTGAAGTCCAGGGTTTGAATACAGGTCTTAGTCCTAGTTTTTACAAGCATAACATTTCCATTGATTAGTTTGTTGTTTAATTCAGCTCTTTTGTTTTCCATGAAAGTCAAGCAAATGTATGTTTTTTTTTCTAAAAATTATTTACCAAAGCTTAAATAAAACTGACAAAAATGGTTTCCAGTGCATTACTTAACTACTTCATGAAATTAAAATCGTAAAAAAATATATATCTAAGTGTATCTGATAGATGAAAAGTACGAACAAACTAAAATATATTTTATATCTTTCTAGTTATTTTTTTTTTAGAAATAAATCTTTAAACAAATATAATGCATGTACAATGTAAACAGTATACACGTCACATCTTGTTTAGTATGGATAACAGCATAAAATCTCTGAAACTATTTCATATAATTTCATTTCTGCGAATCCCATTACTGCTCAAATTGTATTAGTGAGATGCAGACGTTTTGGTTGCTTTTAATCATTTATGGACATTGCTTTCGATACACGTTACGTAATTTCTTGAGGAGAAGTCACTTCAAGCAATATGGTGAATCTAGGTGTTATTGGCCCCACCCTTCAGCCACGTTATTTGTACAGTTTTTTGTATTTCCTGTTAATCTGATGAAATTTCAATAAGCAGTTCCTAAGAAATCATACATAGAAACAGTTGATGAAAGCTGTGGTGTATCTATTGGAGAAGCTCACTTTGATCCTTTGGACAATTAAGGTGAACTAAAAAACTCATATTGGCACAGCTTCACAATAGATATACCTTAGCATTGCAATACATTAAATTTAAGTTTTAAAGAAATTGTTTTATAGATAGCAAAATGTATATATATACTGTGAGAATTTAGGGCAACGGGAGAGGTAAAACAGGGGTGTGATTTCTATAATATACATATATATGTCTGAAATTAATTAAAGTCGTACCTGTAGAAAATGATTTTGTGGTGATGCCAAATGTTTCCAATGAATCAATTCAGGAGTGGAGAAATGGATAAGTGGACATATATATAACAAGCAAAGGATTATGAATCCAATATGTGTTGAACCAGTAAAACACATTCACACATACTGTTCACAGCTTTATATCAGTTTGTATTGGTCCAAACTTAAACATCCACAAAAGGGCAAAATCAGTTCAGTATATATATATCCCAATTCCAAACTTTGCTACAAGAGTTATAAAACAGATTCCTAAGTGAATTGATTTGAAAGTCTATACAATTTTTATTATGAATAAAATATTGAATTTCTTTGCAACAATTTTTATTATGAATAAAATATTGAATTTCTTTGCAACAGAGTTTCTTGAGTACATTGATTTAAATATACATGTACATGTACAATAAAAGCAAACATTGATTCCTTACTAGTAAAGGATGATACAGATGTTAAATAACTAGCAGCCATTATACTCAAACTTCATACCCAGACTCTGTACCCAAACTCCACGCTCAAAATTTGTATCTAAATATCATACTCAACCTTCATATCAAACTTCATACCCAGACTCTGTACCCAAACTCCACGGTCAAAATTTGTATCTAAATATCATACTCAACCTTCATATTAAAATTCATACCCAGACTCTGTACCCAAACTCCATGCTCAAAATTTGTATCTAAATATCATACTCAACCTTCATATCAAACTTCATACCCAGACTCTGTACCCAAACTCCATGCTCAAAAATTGTATCTAAATATCATACTCAACCTTCATATCAAAATTCCTACCCAAACATATTTAATTCTGCCACCCAGACTTCATATCGAAATGCCATATATTCACAACATTCACATACAAATTTTATATTCAAACTCCATAAACAAACTTCATAATACCTTAAATCAATATCTAATCCCATACCTAAGTTCCACACCCAAAAAACATTACCATAATACCAAACTTCATACACAAGCTGTTTGTACCGAGCCAAACTTGATTTAATGCATAAGAGATTAAGTGTAAAAGGTCAATGCCAGCATTTCTGTTCATACCAGTTGATTACCTGGTAATAAAAATGGTATATCATTCCAACTAAAAGAGCAGTAACAGTCAGTGAAGACTGATCCACTTACCTTCCTGGCTAGAGGCATGTTCAGTTCCGTACACATACTGTTTAGACTTTTCAAAATTCGTTTTTCCCAGTTTTGCTGCAAGAAACAATTGAATAACATAAGAAATTCATCTATCTTAAAAAGAAAAAAATATATAATACATATGTACTTGTATTGCCAAAATTAGTACCCTCGAGATCTAGCATTTGCGGCCCTGATGATTGGGGGATGGTTACAGAGGCTTCTCTTTGATAATTAAATCCAAGAAACAGAATGTTTATGAGAATGTCTGTCTTTCTATAGAAAATCCACTGTTATGACTTTCATTCGAGCAGCCAAGACATGCAATTGTTATAGATCATCCCATGGTATTAAGACATTATCAAGTAAAGCAATAATATGAACACCTGATGTTTGAAGTTTAATCAATTTCAGACACAGACAACAATTTTTGTCGGGAGATCTGGAACAGGGTAAGTGCAGGAGAGTCACTTTTAAGGGATTTACAACATCATTTTTTTGGTTTACAGGACACGCACAACTAAATCAGCTAATAATCAGCAAGTGTTATATACAATTGTAATTTGTTTCTGTTAAATACAGTGCCTCTCAGTAATTTAGATGTGTATAACTGTTGACAGATTATTTATTTTTTTGAATGAAATCTGCAGATATTTAACTTCAGAGATATGTATAGTTATAATAGGTTTTAATAAGTGATGGCAGATTGATATGGGGTCAAAAGTCAGGGGGTGTTCCCGTCCCAATACACCGGTTTGGGTTGTAAACTTCTGGTTGTCAAAAGCAGAAGCTTGTAGCGCTCTCATACGCCATTAAACCTGCCAAAAAATCCCTTTAAAAGCCTATTACAAGTATGTATCTATGAATCTAGACAGTTGTCACTGGTGTTGAACTTCAAATACTGAAGCTGTTAGCTCAAAAGTTTAGTAATAACAAAAAGTAAATGATTTAGTTGTGCGAGTCCTTACACATTTCCTAAAGATATCAGCAGAAGTACTAGTCAGTCTAGTGTTGAAATTAAGATAATATTGTCATTAAACCCTGTATAAAAATGCAGAAAAACTAGCTTTTTACAGGAGCATCTTTTATGATTATTTTTTTTTTGCACGAAACATGCCGAAACTCATCATAACGTTAACATTACTGTCTTTTAACTGGGTATGTACAGTGTAAAAAACACCCGGAAGACTTTTTTGGTTTATAAATAAGTAATTGGTATATAATGATGTATTTTTTACTGGTTCAGACAGGCTTTCTATGACTAATATATATTCATTCCTCATATTCTCTGTCCATACCAAATTGTAAGGAATTGACATTTAGATTTCATCTAAATACAGTGTACGATGATATTAAACATTAAGGTACTATTGCAACTAGCCCGGGTTTCCTCTGGCTATATTGCAACTAGCACGAGTTTCCTCTGGCCCTAACACCAGACTTAGACATTTTGGCATATAGGCCAGAGGAAACTTGGGCTTTATATATTGCAACATGAACCAACTTTTGAAGGGTGAGGGGTGAGGGTGATTTTTTTTTTTTTGGAACAGGCGCAATCTTTTTCACTAATTCATAAATCTTTAAAAATGTATAGTTACAACAATGTACATACTTCTAAACTGATTTTTTACAGGAATGTGCCTAGTATATAGAAGTATCAAATTTGATTGCAAACAGTGATGAAATAGAAAGAGGATGGGTGGTCAGGTGGCATAGTGGATAATGCATTCACCTTTTACCAAGGCGGCCGGGGTTAGATTCCCTGATTGGACATAATAAGATATGGGGTCACCTAATACAACCAGGTGGGTTTTCTCAGGGTACTCCGGTTTCCTCCCATATTAAACCCTGTGTGCTTACATCTGGGCCAATAAAAGTGATTAATATAAGTTGAAATAACTTGTTTCATAATTGTTGTTTGGGTTTGTTTGTGTTTTACGTCCTATTACCAGCTATGGTTACTTAAGGTAATAGGATTGTGCCGCCATTTCTCAGTAGAATTTCTTCAAATTTTGAAGTTATATTGCTTTGAAGTAAAGAAAGTTTTCTGCCACAAAAAAATATAGGTTGTCAAAATTTTAAGGATTTTAAATGGAAATTTATGTAAAAAGGAGTGAATTTTGTAAAAAAAAAAAATGAAACACACAACTTTTCGCAATATAATGTCAATAAAAATGATACTGACATACATTAGTATTGTATTAATATACGATATCAATTTCATGAATGCTGAAATTGTGTTAAATGAATTATCTATAAACGATTTAAAATTGACATTTAATAATAAAACCATATACACATAGTAATTGCATGTAAGAGTTATCGTTCTTGAAAACTTCAAAGTAGCCGGTTTCCTGAAGTACAGAAAAATGGACACATGTGACTCATTGATTAAAAAACAACTAAATTAATGCCTGTGGATTGCTTTGAAATACTTTAATAGTGAAAGAACACACTGTTCTGTCAATAATAAACATACAATATTCATCAGTTTAATATTAAACATTAGAATATGCGGAAATTGTGATACTGTCTCCCTACATTGGATTTTCAACTAGGCATGTACTTCCTATTTCCGTTTAGCAATACACTCTTATCACCTTAAGGTTGTGTCAGGTTTTGGTGGTGGAGGAAAGCCGGAGTTCACGGAGAAAAACCGACGACCTGCGGTCAGTACCTGCCCAGCGTAAGGCCTCGAACCTGCAACCCAGTGGTGGAGGGCTAGTGGTAACAGAATGTCAGACGCCTTAACCACTTGGCCATTTGTTGCAAAATAAAAAAAGTGTATATATATTTATATAGAAAGATGATGGGTATAAGTGCTTACCTGTGCCTTTCTAAGGTACAACAACGGTTCTTTCATGTGATCTGCAGGAGGTAGAGGGTAGGGTATCTTTGGATGACACTGGATGTATTTGAAAATTGCATTCCTCAGCTTCCTGTCCCATCCTTGAAAAGAATAAATATTTCAAAATTTGAAATGGTTATTAATGGAACAAGCAAAATATGATAACAAATGTACATGTACATCTATCCCTTGCAATACAATCTATGATGAGTAGGTTCAAAAACTTTGTCAAAGTGTATTTTTTATGTTACTTTTAATTGTTGTAACTTGACAAGTTACCTCTGTAATACAAAAATAATTATGTAGATATGTTTTAGTGCTTAAAATGATAGTATGATCAATATTGAGATGAAAAACTCAAAGCAAAACTGTTAACACTAATGACAAAACCAAAAATATACATATATATCTACTTTATAAAATGATTTTGTTTGTTTGTTTGATTTTGTTTAACGTCCTATTAACAGCTAAGGTCATTTAAGGACGGCCTCCCCTGTGTGCAAGATGCATGCGTGTAGTGTATGTGCGTGTATTTTGGGAGGCTGCGATATGTTCATGTTTGTCTCCTTGAAATAGCGCGGAACTGATGCCGACTTTATAGTGCTACCTCACTGAAACATACTGCCGAAGACACCCAGCAGGACGCCCCACCCGGTCACATTATACTGACAACGGGCGAACCAGTCGTCCCACTCCTAATTTGCTGAGCGTTAAGCAGGAGTATAAACTACCATTTTTAAAGACTTTGGTATGTCTCGGCCAGGGGACAGAACCCAAAGCCTTCCTCACAGGGGCGAACGCTCAACAAATGGCCAAAAGTGAGGCATTGTCAAGGGAGACATTAGGAAGAAGAAAGTTATTTGGAAAGAAGAGAAGAGATAAGGTCCCAAATTTAGTCGCCTCTTACGATCATGCAATTGGGGGCAGCAGGTACAATTCTTACGCCCTACCTGCAGGGTCTAAAATAAAATGTAAATATATTCTATAATTTTACAGTCCTCTTACCCGAGTTAACCAGTCCTGTTTGAACACCTTTCCTCACATCAGATAACCTCAGGTGTGTTTTAGCAACTTCTACCTGCATAAGTGATAATAAAAGATGAATTTATTTAAATTCATATTCAGATTGAAACAATACGAAATCTTCTATTTTTGGGAACAGTAAAAGCTGAATTTAATGTTTAAAGATAAATATTATAAATCATTTTATGAAATGTCTGCCAAAAATCAACAAGTGTATCAGAGAGGTTGTGCAAATTTTTTACACTGTGTAACCATTTACTGTATGTCCCTGCTCCTCAGCCCTTATAGGATGATCATCAGCCCTCTTTCAAGTAAAAATTCTGATTCTCAATAACGATGATTTATTGCATGAAAGGTGGAATATATCCACCGTTATGTTTCAGAGATGTCATTTGAACCCTTAATCTGGAGTAAAAATGTTGATTATGTATATATCAATAGATGAAAAGATAAGGGAAAAATTCACCATAAAGTTTCAGAGATCTGTGTCTTTTTTAAGTTTTGCAATCTGTGATGGATGATATGTGACATTTTACACACAACAAAATAAGATAATATCTGGTTTGTCATGTATCATTACATAAACACATCTTGAATTAAGTATGGCAGTTACTACAACCTATATATTTACTCGTAGGTAAGTAGTTCAAGTCAAGCGGAAGGCTGGTAAACCATAAGTGTTCAATTAGATTTGCTCCACGGCTGTATTACATACTTAAATCATACCTCAACCATAAACCAGGTTCAAGACTCTTCTTATTATGACAGATCTATCATTTAACAATGTGTATCTTTATGTCACTCTACTTGGCTATTTAGAATATCTTTAACTCATTCTGGAGAACGACAGACTATCACAGTAAACCAAAGGTCTCAGGTTTGATCCTTAGCAGAGGCATTGACAAAATAATGACTTAGGTTTCACCAAAGCACATGTATATATATATATAGGGACCATTAAAGGAAACATGTTAACAGGACTTTGCCTTGCTCTCATAAGCATTGATGTTACCCCTGGATCAGGCTTTTAGCCAGGATTTCAAACGTCCTTGTCCAAAACGTTGATATTATAACTTATTTTACAAAACTGCCTGTCAAAATTGATATTCAATAGTAAGGTTAAATAGTGGAAAGTTGCCTGTCAAAATAGGTCCACTTGAGACGAGTTCTTTGTGTCAGGGAAACACTAGTTGTATCCTACCAGCTCAGCTAGGTAGAATTTCTCTTTAGGTTATTCCGTAGAGTGACAGGCTTGTTAACCATAGGCTTCAGGTTGTATCCATAGAAGATATTAGAAAATAATGACATCTGATATGACCATCTAGGTAAAATACTGATCACTTCCTACAGAATCGACTAGGAAGAATTTCCTGCTATCTCATTCCGTAGAGTACCAGACTAATAATCTAGAGGCACAGACAGGGACATGGATCGCTTTACTTGTAATATAAAAAATAGGGGTCTCCTCTAGTAGAGCCATGCCCCTGTGTCTAGAGGTACCAGACTTGACCCAAAGTGGAAACAAAAGACGTCTATTGTTACCACTTGGGGTCAAGTCTGGTACCTCTTGATACATTGAAATAGAAATAGAAGTTAAAACAATGCACAGGTTTTTTTCTTGTTCACCGTTTTAAAACGGGAATGCTGATCTGATATCTTGCTTTGTGTTTCATATTATGCTTACGATTGTTTGTCGAATTACAATTAATACTGTGCGTATGACTTCCGTATGCACACATTCAACGTTTTACCGAAATGCTTGTGTATCATTTAATGAAATTACAGTAAACGAAACAGCTCTAGCAATGCAAATGCACGCTGACCGTTAATGAGAATGATGTCTGATGAATCACGTGATGTTTACCTGTGCTGCATTCTGTAAGTCAGTATATAATTTCGAAGCCTTCAGGTCATGTATAAGCTCTTTCATGTACTTTTGTGTTAAAGGTGGTTCTCCCATTTTGACCAATAATGTCAGGTTTCAAACCAGGTGCTCGGAGAGACAGCCGTGTGGAAATATTGCGAGTCCTTAGCAACAGGATAGAATGTTCATGGTACTTGGAGGTTACTCGGTGTTTGCACGTATTGCTTACATACAAATATATCCTAAATATTTCTTACGTACTTTAAATGTATCACTGAATGACATAGTGTAATTGTGATACTTATAAACAACTCAACGTATAATAAGAAGCCTGCCCAGATTTCCAGTTCGATAATTTTGCCTTCCAACATAAAAGAGTATTACTTATAAGGGAGGTAACTCTTGTTGTCTCTTTGCTAAATCATTGAAATGCTTTTTTCTGTTGTTTAAGATCAGTTGCTTATTATTCACAAAAGAGTATCTTTAAAACGATACAAATGCACATATCAGGTGGAAGGATATATACATGAATGTATTTTGTGTATTGCCCGCCTAGCTAGAAAAAAATAATATATACAGTAGCCACAATTGTTCGCGTTTATTGGAATTGACATGGATATTTATCCTTTTTATTACATACTTACCAATTAATACGGGGGTTTTGTATATGCGATACGACACAGTTGCTCTAACCCATATCAGCCCTCGCCGTATCACACCCAAAAACCCCTATCAGCCCCCGCCGTATCACACCCCAAAACCCGTATCAGCCCGCAAAACATGTATCACTACCCTTTTGGATTTTTTTTTTCTTTTTTCAATATTTTAAAAGAAAATAGATCATAAATATAAGTTTTATTAGTGAGTATGTAATAAACAGAATAAAACACGTCTTTTTCCATATCACACCCAGTAACAGGGGTGTACCCAGGAATTAGTTTTGGGTGTTGCCCAAAATTTTAAACTCAGAAAAAGACTCAAAAAACTAATAAATTATAATTGTCATGCTGGTTGTACATGTATACTACTGTTTGACACCAAACAATATATAGAACTTCATTATTTCTGAGATTGTAACAATTATAATTTCCCTGCCGAGCAGAGCGAGGAGATTTTCTTTTTACTCTGAAAGTGTAATACTTAACTTGTTCAAGCACTGTCAAGCGTAGAAAGCTAGAATTTATCGGACATTATTTCCATTGTCAAACAGATCGAATAAGGCATAGAATAGTTTTCTGAGTTTGCGGTTTTATTCCAGTATTTATATTTTATGATGGCCGAGCAGAGCGAGTGTTAACAAATTCTCTGAAACAATAATAATAATAATAATAATGATAATATACAACATTTGATATAGCGCCCTATCTAGCTAACATAAGCCAATTTAAAGCGCTTTACAGTATATACAATTAATACAATTAGAATATATACAATTTTGAGGAATTCGCAGGAGCTGCCTTATCAGGCGCTGACTAATAGTCCTATGCCACCTTGCTAATATCTCCCTATGTGTATATGCCTGCATGTGTTCTGGAGATGTATTGTGTTCTGTTTGTAGACTGTCTACTTCCAACGTTGCTTCCAACGGCATCTTTTTTATAGTGCCATCTCACTTGAATGCTACATCACAGTTACCGCAACATCCACCCCAGACCATTGTATACTCCACCTGGGTTGTTGGAGTTGTGTGGGCAGGAGAAAAACACTTTCTTTGATATTCCATGCGTGCGACGCAATGGTAAAAATGTAGGTTTTTGGTTAAAATGTTGATGTTTGTGTCATGCCTTTCATGTGCATGTAGTTTAGGCGAGCATTTTGGCAATTAGATGTTAATTCATTTTGTCATAAATATGAATTATGATTTGACTGTTTGTCTTTTATTGTGAATTTATATGCATGCATATGTACAAGGGCAACACCTGTTAAAAAAGATGCATATATACATGCCAGGCTTTTATGCTAACATTGGTTATTATTCACCTGATAAACTGATGCTAAGTTGGATGCTTTATTGTCTTTGACATTTTTGAAATTTACATTTTTTAACAGGTATAATAAATGACTCCTGGAGATCATGTGTACATGAAACCACATGCAAATGTATATACCTAATTCCAACAGATGGTTTTATCCGCTCTCAACAGACAGGGTGATCACCACACCGTGACATTAGGACATTACGATAAGGTAGACAGTCCGTTGAGCCTTCACCACTGACCTGACTGGAGACCCTACTAATATATAAACAAAAGAGGATTAATCCCCTATTGTTTAGAGTATAAGTAGTGGACTCCTTGTTTGGGCAACTGCACCCTTAGGCATATATAGATATTCAAACTGCTGCTTGCCATAGAAAATCATAGTTTACAGGATATGGTTGATATTAAGAAAATCCCATATGAAAAAGAGGAAAATCTTCAAAAACTTAAGTCCAGATTATTTTTGGGCACAGAAAAGGGGTGTTGCCCGGGCAACTAGCTAGGGCAACACCCTGATTCCGCCACTGAGTATCAACCCTCTACAAATATCAGCCATCGGGCCTTCGGCCCTTGGGCTGATATTGCAGTCTCGGGTTGATACTGGGTGTGACATGAAAAAAAAGCATGTATTATTCTATATTTCTATCATGTCGAAACAACTATCTCATCTGAGAAAATCTCGCACCCTCACTTTTTCAAAAGAGGTTGTTATTTTGGACTGACTTCATATTCTAGGGATTTTTTTTATCAGTATATGATTATGTTTCTATTATTAACTCTAAACAGATACTAATTTGACACTCATGTTTTATGGACTGTTTAATCCATTCATGACTCCAAGAAATCGACGTGCCCTATATTAAAGTGGGGGTGATGCTGAGTTAATGGAAGGGGGGCGGGTACTGTTTCATTGTGCTTAGAAATTGACGAATCGTCAATGACATTCGTCATCTTTGTATATTTATGTCCACAGGTACGTTAGTGCGAAATTGACTTTGAACGCTTTGATAATAAAGTATATTACACAGAATATTGTATATAAATGCTATGTACTTTCTTGACAATCCATCAGTTCAACTCAAATCGAATTCAAATCACAGCTATCTGCAACAAGCAGGACATTTCATATTTTAGCCCATATTCCATTATCAAAACAATCAATATAATGATCATCTAGATAACTATATTTTGATTGATATGGACTATACTGAATGATACGGGGGATAATTCAGCCCCGATATCACCAAATCAAATATTATAAATACAGTAGAAACAAGAGACATGTCAGTCCCATTTTTGGCGATGGAAAAAAATAAGGCATTCATGTGCATTCTGCACCAATATTGAGGAAATATGCATACATATCTTTTAGTATAAATTATATAATTTTCTAAATTTCTGTTTTGAGTGTAAACTAAACATAAATGATAAGGTACATTGTACCTCGATTGCTGTCAACAGGTAAACTATATGCCATCAAATTCTATGATATTTTAAAACAAAATATCGTAATCACAATCAAATAACTTTTAATGACCATTTACAATTGAAACCACAGGTGAAAATAGGGTAACAATGAAAATAGACTCTACCTCCATCTATTAGTCTGTATAATTACATGTACTATGGGCGGCCGTTTTAGAATAAAATACCAATACTACTTAAATGGAAAAAAATGTTTGTACTTAATTCCCAGCGATGGTACAGCCCAAATAACTCCATTCACACTGCTTTAGCTACACTTTCCGTATCTTAAGGTATGGCTGTACCACAGTAAATTGTTGCTAGTATGTATCGGAATCACTTGCTAAACGAAGTCGAGCGTATGAAAACTATATTTTTTTTCTAAAAGTGGCTATACATTCTGATACTTTTTAAGTGGATATACGTCTACTTTATTACCAAGTAGCATACTTTAAAACAAGTTTTGCCGTACCTAACGTATTGATCCTATATTAGGCCAGGCTGGGCATGGAAGGGGAAAATGACTATGGACAATTAAAATTGCCACAGAAAAAATAAATAAATAAATAAATCAGCTTGTAAAACAGTTCTCATAACTAAATTCAATAAATGGTATTTTGGTCCACTTCCAGCTGACGGTGGAAAAGTAATCACCACTTTTTGACATTTTCATGTATAAATGCACATTCGACAGTCACGACAATTGGGGAATACAATTCCATCCCTGTTATACACACATTTAAATTAGTGGAGTTTTTGCTGGAATTCAACGGAAACTAACCTTTAATTTACTTCAATGTGACTGGTAGGATTCGACACTCCCTCTTCGAAAAGTGCAAAACTAAACGCAAAATATTTGCATTCCACTACAACAATGGAATATTCATACACAGATAAACTGTATTTTACAACCATCAATTTGCATATCACTCCTAGGCGAAAGAAAACATTGATTCCTGTGAATTGAGTACATTATCATGGTTCGACTGGGAGAGAGATGGAGATCTAGACGATTACATAATTAGAGGTGTGTGTGTGGGGGGNGAGGGAGGGAGGATGGAAGGGAAACTAAAAGAGACTGAATATGTACATGTGTATATTTATAGTTTAATGATATAAAAACAAAACCGAAGTGCTTTATCTAATGTAGTTGTATCTATTTATACGTATATCACGTGGTTGTTTTAAGATAGCGTTCCGTATTTGGCACATTATATTGATATACATGTACAATAATATGATGTAATACTGTAGAAGTTTATTTTATAGATCTATACTGTCACCTCATTTTGGTGTTAATGTTGAACGCTCGCCCAGGCGAGGAAGGCAATGGGTTGTGTCCCCGGCAGGTCGGGACATACCAAAGTCATAAAGAATAGAAGTTGTTATTTCCCTGCTTAACGTTCAGCATTTACGGTAATGGCAACAACTGGTTCATCCGTTGTCTGATTATTGTGATAGGGCGGGATGCTGTCCTGTGTGCGTTCGGCATGGTATTTCAGCGAGATAGCACTATAAAGTCGGCATCAGATTCGCGCTATCACAAAAAGACAAATATACCAACATACCCTGTCTTCGGCACACACACACATAAATGCAGACATACACAACACACGGAGGTATGTCCTTCACTGACCTTAGCTGTTGATATGACGTTAAACCAAATAAAACCAAACCAAACCCTTATTATTCCAAATGATACCATTCACGATATCGAGACATCTCTCCTTAAAAAGACCAGTTGCGACCTCTCGAAGGTATCCCTCCAACTCTCTTTACCTCATTTTAGCATATCCCTTCTTTAGTAATTGGAAATAAAAAAAAAAACTGGTCCTTTAAATTGGTTATATCTCCGCTTTTAATTAGTCCTTTATCAGCCGTGTGTTAGTCTGATCACTAAACACCTTTACATA